TAAAAAAAAAAAAAAAAAAATAAGAATCTATCCAAAGGAATCGCAATTGGAATCTAAAGAAATGAGTATATACATTCTTTCTTGCCCGTTCGCATTTCTGTCTTTGATCTTTTATATATCGCGGGATATCGTCGAATGATATCGATCCTGTCCTCAATATTCTTTTTCACGAAATCACAAAACGATTCGAGTAAGATTGATACGAATTTTTCCTTCCCTCCATCTTTCTCCTCGTTTGATTTTTCTTATCGATTATTCCAAGCATTGGAAAAATCTATCCAATTCGCGAAATGATCAGCTTCTTAATTGCGATCGAAACGAGGCGATTCCGCGATAAGCGGCCGGTAAACAAATTGCAATTGCCTTTTACGCCGGACAAAGGGGAGATACAAGCCGAGATATTCGCGCGAACGAAAGAGCGATGCGTACCCGCGCAATTTATCGATACACGGCCACCTTTTATTTCTCCAATCGCGGAAACGTTCTTTCGTTCGTAAAAAGAAGAATAAGAAAACGGAAAAAGAAACAACGCGCGGCGTGTCGTCGAATAAAAGCCCCCCCCGCTCCTCCCGTATCCTCGACTCGTCTCTCGAGCCATCGCATTACCGTTGCCTCGCTCTTAACGACCAATAACGACCGGTTTCGCGAAATCCTCCGATTCGAGGATTTTTTGCCCGAAACTGCGCGCGACCCACGCTCGTAAAATATCACGTCGGTGTAATTAAGAGTTTCACCCGGGACTTTGTTTCGCTACGTCGTCGTTTTTTACGACTTTCTCGCGGTTGTTAACTGCCGAGCAGGCATCAAAACGGTTCGAGGATCGATAACAGGAGTACGAACGAGGATCGAACGAAAGAAAGAAACGAAACTTTGGAGGAAAGTTGGCGAGAATGAATTGTTGTTATCCTCGCGAGAAATTCGACGAGAAAGGTCGACGAGCCTTTAGGAACAAGATCCTCGAACCAAGGCGCTTGCGTGTGCACGTTTTTACGGGAGGATCGAGCGCGTGCCGACTTTTATCGACGGCATAAATCGCTCCTTACCCCCTCGAATCCTCGAATGCTTATTTGCATGCGTTCACCAGCCTGTTCTCTACTCGTACTGTACTTTCCTGGCAATGTGCTCTGCTTTCCAAAGAGGATCCCAAAGATTATGGAACTGTAATTCGAAGCTCAGAATTCTTGGTTAATTTTTCTACGGGAGTATCGTATTGTACACATTTCTATAATAATTTCTCGTAAGTATTTACGGTTGAATAGAATCGAAGTGTACGAAAACTTATTTCTTTGCTATACCTTTTCTATATTCAATTCAATTTTACCTCGTTCCATCGAGAATTATTTTAAATTCTAGGGAATACATTCGAAGTATTTTTATCTAATTATCTTTTTTCTTTACAAATACAATACAAAGAACAAAACAATATATCTACCTAGATGATAAATTAAACTCTCAACGAACGAAAAAAAATTGCAGCATAAAGATATTTGAGATATAGCAGAGTTAAGAAAAGGGTCAAGTTCGAAATTTTTTTCTCGCCTCCCTCTTCTCTTCTTTTGGGGATTCGCAAAAAAGGAAAGGAAAGGGAATTCGCGATTAAGATCCGGCGAAGCGGAACCGAAGCAAAGGCCCCTCTCGATCCGCGTTAATCCGTCGGACGCGATATCTTATATCTCTTTGAACGCGTCCCAACAAAAGAGGCGAAACAATTTTCTCCTCGATCGTAAAGTCGGGCGAATTTAATTCGCCGTGAAAGAACCTTGGCCGGTTGGCGAATTCTCGCCGCTTCTCGTTCGGCCAATGATCATCCGTGGATCACGCGCGAATCCGCTCTTATTCCACCGCTCCATAAACGCTCGAGCGCCGTATTTGGATATAGTGGGGCGCGTATTAAGAGGGACGGCCGCTTCGAATGCATCGTGTCGTGTGCGTGCACACACGACGCTGCGCCTCTTCGCTGCTGCCGAATCGATCGTCGACACACCTTCGATTCCGAAATTCTCTCTCGGAACACCGCGCTCGGATACAGAATATCGAGACCCCACGCTCCTTGCTGACCACGCCCTTGCTCTCCAGGTGAATCACACCTGGTTCCTATCTCGCCTCGATATATATATATATATATATACTCGTGTCTGGCCGCCATAACTGGAGCAATCGTTGATAACCGGCGATCGAAATTCCCAGGAAAGAGAAAGGAAGGATCTAGGAACGAAGCTGGCGCGCGTCCTCCTCCGAAACGGGAACTTGGAGATACCTGGGGATCGAGGGATCGATGGAAAAAGGGATCGAAGAATTCTTCGTGGCGATCGACAGATCGATGAATCACTATAGATAGGCAGGTAACTGGAGCAGGTAATCTCGCGACATTTTCCGGAGAACGGAGGGGGAGAGGAAATTGAATGGAACGGCTCCATTCTAAATTCAATCAATATAGTAACTCGCTTTCGATCCGATATCATTGAATTGAATCATTTGTATTAGTAAACCGGGTTCGAGTGGTAACTTGGTTTGTTTCAAACATGCGTTTATTTTGTAATAATCGTTTGTTGAGCGAACAAAGACTTTGGATTGTTAGTTGAAATTTTGAGGAGGAAGGGCCGAAGTTTCTTTTCGAAGATTCTTCTAGGCGGCCCACGCTGAAAGTCTGGCGTGGGATCGAAAAAAAGAAAATATAGGGAACAGAGGTCGATCATCGAGGAAGCGATAGGAAGATTTATCGTCTCGTTCCCCTTGATTCCCTCTCGGCAAATTGCGCATCTCCTCGAGAGAATTATTTTTACGCCTTTTGTCATTATTTATTAGCCGCGTGCCACGGGTACTGTCCACTACCTATCGAGGGGGATACACTTTGAATATTCAGATACCACCGCCCACGCGCTCGCATCTCCAAGGACCCGAGGAGATGAGAGGCTCTCGAGAGAGGCAGCCAAACATTCTTCTTACCTATCTTGCCCCGTTTGTTGTTCCCCCGCGTTCTCCTCGCTTACGTAACGCGGATCGTTATTTCGTTAGATCGTTACCAGATCGGTGGTGATTCGAGAGCAACGAGCGTGGGTCTAGCGTAACGATCAACGCGAATCGTGTACTTGTTAGGCTGGGAAATCGCGACGGGTGACGTGTATAAGGAAACGCGAAGAAACCGGCCGTTGGGAAATCTAGGCTTCGCGAGAGACGCTCGATCTAGGATATAGGTTGCCCGCGTATTCTCTCGTCAATCGAACGCCACTTGCATAAACCGAACCCGAGCGCCCTCTCTTCCCTTTACCCACGGAGCAAGGAAAGAAAGAAGGAAGGAAAGAAAAAAAAAAAAAATGGCGCTCGGGTTCGAACGCAGCCTCGATCCCCCTCACGGCTTGCTTCCACCGGGAAACTTAATATTCCATTCTATTCCTTCGTGCGCGCACGAATTTATCGTAACAGCATCTACCGTGTTTATGTAAATGATCGCTATGTACTCTCCTCTCCTCGATGAAGCGCGAATCACGAGCCCCGCGATGTTTCCTCTCCGCTCTCTCCCCCCCCCTCCCCCGCCGCATCTCGTCTCCGTTTTCAACTCCCGGGCTATATCGTATCGTATCCTCTTCCCACTCCTCCTCCTTCTCTCTCTCTCTCTCTCGAGTGAATGGGGAATAAGGAAAAAGCGGTGAAAGAAAGAAAGAAAGAAGAAATAGTCGCGACGCGGTAGCAAGAGACGCGTTCCTTTAGCCCCCCTCCCCTCCCTTAGAGATATCCTGCTGAGCGCGACAGCGTGACGCGAAGAAAGAAAAAGAAAAAGGAAC